TCACCATTAATCAGATTATATATTGAGCTATATGAAGAAGATAGATGAACTATATGAAGAAGAACGGTGCATTAGGAATAAAGAAAGAGACATCAGTTTTTGCTATGCATCAGAGAGCTGGACAATGACTAGGGATGATAAGAGAATTGATGCCTTTGAGCTGTGCTGTTGGAAAAAAGTATTGAATATACCATGAACTGCTAAGAGAATGAACAGGTTCATCCTGGAGGGGGTGAAACCATGCTGTTCCTTGGAGGCAAGGATTCTGAAGCTTCGTCTGACATACTTTGGACTTGTTGCAAGGAGGGGCCCGTCCTTAGAGAGAGGGTCACTATGCTTGGGAAGGTGGAGGGATAGCACAGGAGAGGAAGACCCTCGATGAGATGTATTGATTCAGTGACTGGGGTAATGGGGTAAGTGTGTCAGAGACAATAAGATTGACACAGGATAGCGCAGGGTTTAGGGCTGTTGTGCATAGAGTTTCTATGAGTCACAGGTAACTCGACAGCACATAACAACAACAACAAAAACCCAAACTCATTTTGTGAAAAAAAGAAGATTGGAAGTATTTACTAAAGATCATCAATGACTACAATCTTCAGTATAGATTACAATCCAACTTTAAAAGATCCGGAAAATCTTTATAACTTAGCCAAATGGGCCAGTAGTCAACACCACAAATGAGTGAGAAAATTATGTCTGAAGTTGTTAAGGATTCATTTTCCTTGGATGTACAATCAATACCCATTGAAACTCTAACATAGAGATCAAAAGATGCATTGCTTTGAGTAAATCTGCTTTCAATTGCTAGAGAGCAAAGATGTCTATTTAAAGGATGTGAAGTGAGCCTTACCCAAGCCATGATATTTTCAAGTGCTTCATACACATGTGCGTATACATAAATCCTCACCATTTGTTCTGTTGGCAACCAATGGTATATTCAACACTCTTATCAAAACACAATTCAAAGGCATCAATGCGTCTTCAGTCTTCCTCATTCATTGTCCAATTTTCACATATTGCTTTCTAACATGATGCTGTCAATTTGCCCAATGGTAAGAATCTTTGCTTTCTTGGTGTTGAACTTCAATCCATATGAAGACTACAATCTCTGAGCTTTTGCAACAAACATATAAAATTAAAATGCATATCTTTTTTTCTCTTTCACAATTTTGTTAGAGAAGTAACAATGAATGATTAATATTTCAATGCCTCCTTTAGAAATGATGTAAGTTCACCTAATCAGGATATCAATTAGATGGTCAGAATTCTTCAGAAACTGTCTATATGGGACCAGCAAGGGGAGGACTTCCTGTGCTGTACAGCAAGATTAAGAGAAAGCAAATAATGTGTTGTGTTGTTGTTATGTGCTGTCAAGTCACTTGCGACTCATAGCTATCCTGTGTACAAGAGCCCTAAACCCTATTCTATCCTGTGCCAATCTCACCGTCTCTGACACACTTACTCCCACCACCCCCATCACAGAATCGATCCATCTCATTGAGGGTCTTTCTCTCCTGTGCCGTCCCTCCATTCTCCCAAACATGGATGTCCCTCTCCCAGGACCAGTCCCTCCTTACAACATGCCCAAAGTATGTCAGACGAAGCTTAGAAGCTTAGAATCCTTGCCTCCAAGGAGCATTCTGGCTTCACCCTCTCCAGGGCAAGCCTGTTTGTTCTTCTAGCAGTCCATGGTATATTCAACACTCTTCTTCAGCACCACAGCTCAAAGACATCAGTTCTCTATCATCCCTTGTCACTGTCCAAGTGAAAATTCTGGAAAATAATTGGGTGTCACAAGGTGGAAAACTAACACAAAGCTAATGATAGGGTATTATGATTATCACAGGAATCCAATGAAGAAGTTTATCTTTTGCTTTTCAAAGAGAGGAGGGAACTGGGGTGGGGGGTGGGACAGCAAAGAAAAAAGTGCAACCATGAATGAATGAATGGAAACCCAAAATCTCTGTAAATGTTCATTAAAATTACTAAAATAACATTTAAAAAAACAAAAACAAAAACCCAAAACAAAAACCAACTTAACAGATAAGAGCAAAAGCAGTTGATGAAGGAATGGAGAAGCCTTTTGAATAGTAATTTTCCTCCTTCTTCCTTCAATAGTCAAGATTGAGAATATTTACATAACACCTAAAAACATGATTTACATTTAAATGCCCTTTGGTGGAGGAAAAGTTTAATGTGCTTGGCTACTAACTAAAACATTGGTAGTTCAAACCCACTTAGAGTGGTGTTTTGTTGTTGTTTTTTTGTTTGTTTGTTTTTTGTCTTCTTGTGCTGTTCTTTATTTTCCTGATTTCTTCCTTATGTTTTGGCCTATCAGTGCTTGAGTGTATTATTCAGAGTCTCATCTGACATTCATCTTGGTGTTTTTCTTTCATCATTGTAATGACCATTCTTCATGGATTGTATTTTTTGTCATTTTTTAATTAATTTTAATGAAAATTTACAGAGACTTAGGATATCCATTCATTCATTTATTGTTGCACTTTTCTCCTTTCCCACTTCTCCCCCTCCCCCCCAGTAGAGGTGTTTCTGAAGAAAGGCATGGTGAACTTCTGAACAATCAAAGCCAATGAAAACTCTATGGAATACAGCTTGACTCTGATACATGTGGAGTTAGAATAAATTGTAACTGAATGAAAGAACAGTTTTTGTTTTCTTCATACAGAATCATTGGTGTAAAGACATAGAGGAATATAATAAATATGTGATATGTGATTTGTAAGGCAGACTGTGTTAATGTAATTGACATATAAGAAGTCATAGTTATAGAATGCACACTTTAAAGACAGGCATTAACAAATTCCAACTCAATCTGGCTGGAATTGGTGAAATAAGAAATGATGGAACACCCATGGAACACCCCTAAATAGATTATTTTAAAAATATAAGTGACCATATGAGGTAATTTTCAGTTTCTATTATTCAGGGGATATTTGATAACTAAAAAAACACAATCATTTGAGTAGAATTCATAATAATGTGCTAATTAAGAATATAGCGAAAAAACAAGATAAATACATAGATACACTATAAAAGATAATCTTATCTGAAATTCATTTAGATGCATTTGATTTTACACATTAAAGCAAGATAATACTAGCAGGAAGCTTCTCACTGAAAAATAATATTTACATGTATTAAAAGTTGAAACTCATTCTAGTGTATATCTATATTAAGTAGATAATGAAATGGTGAATGGTTGGAGAAGAGTCAGTTCACCATTGTGCTGTTTGTATTCTTGGTGACAACTTGCAAATTGTTCTGAGGAGACCTTTACAGGACAAACCAGGATTTTTCCTGTACTGAATATTTGAAATCAAAGTATGATTTTTTTCCATAAACTGACAATGGATGCTATCTTGTGATGTGAATTTGTGCCACAGAAGTAAAATTATACACTATTTCACGTTAGGTCTTTTCATATTGTATTTTTTATTTTTTTAGCTGATGGCTGGCTCCTGACCTCAGATGAATGATCTGGAGGGGATCTGTTTTTTCAAATAAGAATTCAGCATAAAATTGTCTGAGACACTCCAGTGGGTTTTCAGAGGCAGTTAATTGAAGGAGAGGAGATTGCCTAGCGTTCTCTTACAGGACAGCTGGTGGATTCAAACCATATGCCTTAGGATTGCTATGCAGCTTCTTGTGACTATACCCTCCAGTTGAATGAACTTAATGATAAAAAGAACAATAGGGTTTGGAGATTGATTAGATGTGGTTGGGACAATAAGAAATTAAGCTCAAACTTTCAAGGCTATAAAATACAATACACTTCCTTGAGAGAAACTCTAAAAGCCAACCAAATATATGAAGTGGTTAGTTGTTTACTGATTAATAGAACATATTTGTTTGTAAAATTTGAAGTGATTTGCTATAGCAACGGAAATGTCTAGAAAGATGCTGAGATGTCAAGTCCTGCAAAGTTCAGCAGAGATAGATACAGATACCCCTAAGGAAATATTTGCCATGAAAAGCGAAGAAAACAATGTCCTGAATTTCATGTTGTAACCACCTTTTTCTTCTGCAAAAACAAGTCTTTTCAATTATTTTTTTTCTATTCCATTCTATTCAACATGACTCATTGGTTATACTGTATAAATAAGTAGTAATTATAATAGGTTACTGATATTCTAAGTATTTTTGGTATGTTGGGTAAGAGAAAATTTGCTAAACAATTCAATTAGAAAATCGATAATCAGAATTTCATTTTGTCAATAATTTTGTTTTTACAGAGCTTTCCAAATTTCCATCTACTGTGGCAAAAATATTCAACAATGTTGATGTATATAATGAGCTATAAATAAAATGAAAATAAACTAAATTAAAATAAAATTCAAAGCAAATGCTTGTCACATTTTTTTACTTGAAAATAGAGAGGTTCTTTTTATTTAACAGTTATATGTCTTCATCTGGAGAAATTATTGTGTACAAGATAAAAACAAGATCAATAAGTGAAAACATGTTCTCAGTCACTATATTGAAAAAGTATCACATCACATGGGCAGTAGTTTGATATTTTGCAATTAATGGTAAGTAGACAGAAAGGAAGAGGGAGGAGATAGTTGAAACATGTTTTCTAAAGTTAAACACACTGCCTTTGAACAGATCCTGATTCATTCTGTAAGGTTAAATAGAACTATCTCATCAGCTTTCTAATGCTGTAAATCTTTACAGAAGCAGTCTACCACGTGTTTCTCCTGCAGTGACTGATAGGATCAAAATGCAAACTTTTAGCAGTGGCGTATGTTAGTCTTGATGAGACCAAGGATTCTCCTGTTAATACATCACAGCTTTATAATAAGCAACTTTATTTGATTAGAAAAGGGAACTCTGATATGAATGTATCAGGTACATTTTGCATAGAAAATTACTCTCTGAAAATATTAATCAAGAGCTTTAGGGGAAAAAATAGAAATCATAGTGACAGGTTTCATTAAAAAAATTAGTGGAGTTATTTTTATGATAATGCAATAAATTTATGTCTTTTTAACAGAAATGTCTTCAAATACTATCTTCACTTTTGGCTGCTTGCTTTTTCTTCTTGTTTTAATCAATCCTTCATTTATTTTTGTTTTAATCAATCCTTTGTTTATTTTTTGGATGAAACCTGGAAGGAGAAGAATAACAAATCAAGACAAAATAGAGCAATAATATATTTAGCCAAGATTTTCTTAATTTTTCTATGTTTAAAACAAAAACATATGATTAGCTTAAACATCTTCAATTTGCCTTAGGAAGAACACCTGTTGCAAAGGAAGTTATTGTGCATGTGTAGGTATTAACAAAAAATAGATAAACATACTGGTGATTTTATTATTTTACCTTCAGGTAGAAATTAATAATCATTTCAGCACTTTAATATTCAAGAAATATTCAACATGAAATTTTTGTGTATTATGAGAAAACTAAGATTTTGTGTATATTCCCCCCCTCCCCAGGGTGTACCGTCAAATCAGATCCAAACGGCACAGGAGGAGATTGCCCCTTCTTCTGTACAGCATCTGATGGATTCCAACTGCACTCCTTTGGGATTGCAGCACAGCTGCTTGCCACTAGGCCACCAGAGCTCCCTGGCTATATTCTTTTAAAATGAATGCTGACATATTTGACTTTTATAAAAGAAATTCTTTTTTCCATGAAGACATATTAGGAAGAACTACAATTAATAGATCCAGCAATATTCTCAAAATGGAAAAAAAGAGACATTTATTTGCTAATTCATAATCTTATCACTAAAAGAACTAATTCATAACATTTTAATGGCTTTAATTAAGCTACAGTTTTGATACTCATTACTTTAAAACTAGTGAGTTCATGAACAATGTCTTCTATACCTTTCTTACATGCCCTGACGCATGCTCTCTTGGAAGTAAAATTGTTTTCATTGCCTCCACATCCACTGTACTTAAATGGGAGGCACTTCTTAGAGTATGAATCGTAGTAGAATCTGGTCTCATTGGCATGACAAATTCCTCTTTCTGCAGGACTCAGACACCAAGAGGGGTTGTTATATTCTAAGAAATAGAGGAGAACATGATAAACATATGTGAAGTGAATCTGTGTTTTTTTGTATTATAGATTGCGGATACATTAACTTGGGGCATGTCTTCTATGTAAAATAGTAATCAGAAGGAATAAAATAGTAATTAATAATATTCCCTTATTTCAAGTCTAAGTAAAGTTTAACTATACTCTCCTAGGGTCTACACCACTCATGTCCGTTTTGCAACAAATATAGGAAAGCTAGACACTGAAAACAAAGAGTTATGATTACTTATAAACTAATTGTATGCAATAAATCTATCTCCATACAATTAATTAGCTACTTAATGTTTGTTACCATTTTTTTCTAAACTTTTAAGGTTATATATCATCTATTTAAGAAGAATTTCATTTTGAAACAAGAGCACGGATGAACACAGGCCTTACACACAAACCCAAAAGCTGAGGGAGAATTTTTTATTTTTGACTAAAAACGTTTGGAAAGTGTATAGCACTCACAATGTAAAATAGAGGAATTCATGTATCGTAAACACTAAATTTAAGACTCAGGGAAGGAGACCAGAAGTTCCTGTTTGACTTTGTAGTATTTCTTTTCCATGTGAGATGAAATATCAGTTCTAGATAAGGCACATATTTTATAACAAGGAGGAATGTTGCTAAAAACATTAATATAAAACCAGTGAAACCAATCATGTCCAAAAAATAAGAACTCCCCCCAAAAGCATCTGTAAAGGTGATAAAACATTTATTTACCAAAAGTAAAGAGAAAATAAAAAATGCTTCAATCTCATGGTAATTTTTAGTTCCTTTGAGAATGTTGGTAGGAGCAAGGGGTCGGTGGAGTCCCTAACTTCAGTTGTTATATAATGGCTTGATAATAATAAGCTTGATACTGCAGGCAAACGAAGACATAATGTTGTATAGCTATCAGAAAACTTTGGTGGCTTTTCCAAATAATAAGTTGTGGCATAGCAAGTGCAAGAGAAGAGGAACTAAAATTTTCAACAGAGGGAGAAAATAGAATTTTGAAGATTTCCAGGAGTTAAAAAAGTGAGTAGGCTATGCAGAAAGCAAGAGGCAGTTTGGAACAATGAACCCCAGATAAATAGGCTGTAAAACAAAACTTAAAAAAAATCAATTCTTAAATTGCTTTCCTGACTTCAAAGTACTTAAAATCAATTTTAGTAAGACTTAGAATGATTCAATATGATAATTCACAAACTGGAAAAAATTATGATAAACATAAGTAGTAAAATCTATAGCAAAAATACATGAGAGAAAATTTTAGGAAAGTAGTCTCAAATTCTTGGATAGTCTAAACTATAATCATGTGAACAATATTGTTTTATTTAGGACTTTGAAAAGTCTTACTTGAAAATGGACTATAAAGATTATAATATAATTATTATAAATAAAAATTAGGATGTATATGCTGAAGAATATGATTTCAAAATAACCCCTAAAATCTCCTGTAAGAGTTCTTTTAGAAGAAATAACTAACAATCCAGGTAGGTGTCTTATAATCAAGGTCAAATTTTTCAATGGTGTGTTGTGTGGATTCTTTCAGCCTACAGCTTAAAGTGCAAGATGATTATTGTGTGAACTCCCAACTCTCTATCTAAAAGTTCCAAAGTCTTTGCTTATATTCAGAACAAAAAAGAGTAAAGCAGAAGTAAAACACAGAGCAGAGGAACTCGCTATTCTAGCCCCCACCCTCATCAGTTAGCCCCTACAAAGGCCTCCTATTATATAGATATGATGGATGGAATCAGATGGCTTTGCACATTTATTTCATTTTCTATAAAAATGTCTTGCCCACAGCAAGACAACACTTTTAAATTCACTTGTGAATGGCACATTTTATGCACATGTTAGCTTTTACGTTGTAATAATAATGCTCTACCATAAGTCATTCAATGTGGAGCAGAGCACGTGTGGAAGACAGAGAGCAAGCCCTTCGCGTTTATTCTCTGAAAAATCACAATCTTTGTATGTGTGGCCCCTTAACAAAGTTCAAAATATTTCAAGTGAAGGCAAATTAGTTTGGTATATCTAGAGCTATAGTCTGTAAGTTAGCGGTACAAGGGAAGGAGCCTTTTCTCAGAAACCAGACACCTATGTCAGTCAACTGATGGAACCATGCAGGCTTTTCCTCAAGGAGGTGAAACCATGGAGGTTAAAGAACAGGCTTGGTGGGAGAGATGTATTCTAGCTTCTGTTCTCCTTCTCTCATGGAATCTTCTTTTAGTTCTCATAGTTCTGACTAAACCTGCTCAGAAGGCAGAATGCTCAACAGGGCTGGAGAAGAGCAGAGTGTGTGTATATATGTGGCAAGGTGACGGTCAGCCAGCACTGATGCAACCAGAGCAGAAGTTAGCTACCATTATCCGAGGCATCAGGATGGTTCTTGGCTGTTTCTGAATCAGAACACTGTCCTTGGCAACTTGAGGACTGGTATTATTAATGAAAACTGCCCATTATCAGATATGTGGTCCTACACAAACGAGCTCTGGTGGTACAGTGGTTAAAACACTTAAGTGCTAAGCAAAAGGTGGGTGAGACAGACTCAGCAGTTGCTCTGTGGAAGAAAGCCAACGTAATTTGGGTCTGTGAATATTCACAGTCTTGGAAAACCCAGCATGGATGTGGTATTCTGTCCTGTAGTGTTTCTGAGTTGAAACTGACTCTACAGCAGTGGATTTGGGACCTACTCTTAAGAGATCCTATTTCCAGCTGACTAAGTCAATTGTCTTACTCTGCCTGATTTCCGTGACTGCCTATACAGATTACCAAACTAACTCGGTTTGGATGCAGGTATCTGGTGAAGTTCCTAACATAAAAAAGATTTGAAAATGAGTTAAAATTTGAAATTCATAACTAAGGATGCTGTATCATATCCTTTGAAGTTTAGAAAACTATAATAAATTATCTTCAGTTAGGAGAGCTTTATATTTAGTGTCTATGACATGAACTGTAATTGCTGTCTAAACTAACCATTTATCCTTAAGCCATCATAACTCTGAGCTCCAATTCTATCACTGAATTCCTAGCACAAATCATAGGAACCCTGGAGGTCTAATGGTAAGGAGGTGCACTGCCAACTCAAAGGCACATGGTTCAAATCCACTAGCTGCTTCTTGGGATAAAGATGGGCAGGCACATTCCATGTGATTTACAGTCTCTGAAAACCCACCACAGAATCAGTTATGAGCTGATTCTGACTTAATGGCTTATTACAACAACAACATGGGAGAATTAAATAATGATTTCTCAAGGATCTTTTAAAGTTTTGGGTTTTTTAAAGATCTTTAATTGTCACAAGTGAAAAAATTGAAACTTTGGGGACCCTGTGAGATTAGTTTGACTGTTTTCAAATAACAGATTTATTCTAGATAAACATAGCCACTCACCTATTTAAAATCCAGATTCTGATATCTACAATGAAAGAAAATATAAAGGCTAGTTGCATAATGTTATTATTTTCTCCCAGAGTATAATTATTCACAGAAGCTGAGGGTAGCATGCAAAGATACTAACCTTAGTTTTGTTCATTTTCCACAGAGAATTTAAAAATCTGATGCATTCTGTCTTGCTCACATGATTAAAACAATTTGGCTAGTTTCCGTACAGAGGGTTTATGATAGGATAGGGATCCATTTGGTTCTTTGAGTTTGGGTTGTTCTTCTGTCAGGAACTGCTATGATTTAGTATGTCTGCTAACCTTTAGGATGGTGCTCCATAGCCATTTCCACGTGTCAAGTAGTTTATGTAAAGTTATTTTGAAATTACTGAAGTAACCTTTGAACCTTACACTCAACTTTGAATTTTTACTGGAGTGTCTTCCTTTCATTTCTTGTCTTATGTATCTATTGACATTTTCAAATTACCAACTAAATTAGATTTTCTGTATCTTGTCATGACTAGTTGACTAAATTAATTTTTCTGTCTTAATATACTTGTATAAGGAGATTAAATATGAAATCTTTTTTCCTATATTTTTGAAGTAAAAAGAAATTGGTATTTTTATATCTTCTTAGTATGAATTATCATCATCCAACTTTGAACTATAAAAATTTTACATAAGTTGATCCCAACATTTTCAAGCTTTGTCAGTAATTTTGAATATACTTTTACTATAATTGATTCCATATAAAAAGATATATAAGTATATTGCTTGTTGTTGTTTTTGTTTTGTGCCTTTGGGTCGCTAGTGACACACAGTGACCCTATGTACACTGGCTCTGAAACTTGTCCTATTCTGAGCCAAACTCATCATCTCTGACAGACTTAATCCCTCCATTCCTCCAGTCACTGAATCAATCCATCTCATCCTGGGTCTTCTTCTCCTGCTCTGTCTCTCCATCCTTCCAAGCATGATGTTCCTCTCCAAGGACTGGTCCCTCCTGGCCACATGGCCAAATAATGTGAGACAGAGCTTCAAAGTCCTTGCCTCCAGGGAGCGGCTTGGTTTCACCCTCTCCAGGACAGACATTTTGTTCTCCTGGCAGTCCATGGTATGTTTAACTCTCTTCTCCAGCACCACTACTCAAAGAATATTTAATTATGCTAATGCAAAATCTATACTAGAAGCAGTCAGAACAGATCAGGGAAACACTGCATGGTTCAGGATAAGGGAAGATATATGTCAGGGATGCAACCTATCTCCAAATCTTTTCAAATCTGTATGCAGAACAGATCATTCAGAAGGCTGGGTTTTACAAGGAGGAATGTGGCATCAGCATTGGAGGAAGATTCATCAACAACTTGCATTATGCAGATGACACAACTTTGCTTGCTGAAATTGAGGGGGACAGGAGGCGCTTGCTGCAGATCAAGGACTGTAGTCTTCAATATGAATTGAATTGAATCTCAACATCAAGAAAACAAAGATGCTCACCACTTGTACAATTATCAGCTTCATAATGACAGAGAAGAGATTGATATTGTTAACAACTTCAACTTCCTTGGTTCCACAATCAATATTGTTGGTAACAGTAGTCAGGAAATCAAAAGCTGAATTGCATCAGAAAAGTCTACTGTCAGGGACCTCTCTAGAGTAAGAAAAACTATGTCATTCTGGAGACTAAAATGTGCCTGATATAGCCCATAGTCTTCACAATTACTTGCTTTTACTACTTACAATATATGTCTATTAATATCTCTCATGAGAATACTTCCACATTTGTACTTGTAGAATTTACTCTTTTGAAAGCATGGTCAGAATTATGCAAAAGGTATAATGGCTGATGTTTATGTTGTTGCTTTGTGCCATTGAGCCGCCTGGGACTCGTAGCGACCCTTTGCACAACAGCCCTAAACCCTGCTCTGTCCTGTGCCAATCTTACTGTCTCTGACAGTAGCCCCATTAATCCAGTCACTGAATCAATCCACTTCGCAGAGGGTCTTCCTCTCCTGCATTGTCCCTCCACCCTCCTAAGCATAACGGCCTTCTTCAAGGACTGGTCCCTTCTTGTAACATGTCCAAAGTATGTTAGATGAAGCTTCTTGCTTCCAAGGAGCAGCTCAGTTTAACCCTCTCCACGGTGAACCTATTTGTTTTTTTTTGCAGTCCATTTAATGCTCTTCTCCAGCACCTCCGCTCAAAGGCATCAATTCTCCTTGTATCCTCCCTAGTAATTGTTCCACACTCTGATGCATAGCAAGTGATTGCAAAGATCATGGCCTGTATCAGGTGTACCTTAGTCTCCAGAGTGACACCATTGCTCTTCAGTACGCTGGAGTATTTAGGTTACTTCCATTTTTGGAATTCAAGACAGTGAGCATGAACATAGGCCCAGATATTTCTAAAATGAGAATATTATAAAAGTTATATTTTAATTCATAAATTGGTATTTACTAATAAATTTTCTTCTAAAAGAATGGGCAAATATATAGTCTCACAATGCTATCTAAATCATTTGTTCTAAATCAGAATGTTCCTTTGAAGCAAGGATGGTGAGACTTTGGATTGCTCATGGAAATTAAAACCTATATGCATTTGTCAATAAATAGTGTTATCAACTACTTTAAAAATAACTGGAAGATGTAGAAAATAAAACATGAGTTGTTGTTGTTGTTGTTGTTGATTGCCATTGAGTCGAGCACGACTCATAGCGACCCTATGAACAAAAGGCTTGAAGCCTTTTTATACCTATCGTTGTTTCGCCAAGTTCATAGAGCTTCCAGAGGCATGTTGTTTAGGGAATGGATGCCACTCCTGCTTCCAAACTTGAATCAATCTGGAGCCCCACCAAACACTGTCCACAATGGGTAGCCATTATGGTATTTGGCACACCTATGGCACAGTTGTTCCATTATATATGGCATTTGAGACCTCAACGGCACAAGATTCAGTGTCACAGCAAACTCAGATTACCTCAGCATAGCATATTGACCAGAAATAAAGAGTAAATTCTTTCTACCTAAACCTCAGTTTCTCTTTCTCTCATAACTTTGGGTTTCAGAGTGACAAACGGAATTGAAGTTTTCCAAGTTTGAACAAGAGAAATAAACACTAGTAGTAGTCACTGGGTTGTAAATGTGATCTGTTTATAGATATATCATAGGAAATGGCACTGCGATCCTGAAGGCATGCAGTTTGAATCCACCAGCCACTCTGTGGGAGAAAGATGGGCAGTCTCCTCCTGTAACATTAACTGCATCTGAAAAACTGCTGAAGGCTTAGCTATGAGTTGATTCTGACCTAATGGTACTCAAAAAAACAACATAGGTATATTGAAGCAAGTACAAAGGGTTCTTATTAATCTTACTAGAATTAAGAAAGGGAACTTTGGTAGTGTTGTCTGGAAGGAGTTGTGCTGCTAAACTAAAGAGCATGTTTCTTTGGTGGTTCAAATCAACCAGCAGCTTTGCAGGAGAATAATGGGCTGTGTGTAAATGGGATGTTCATAGCCTGGGGAGTCTCATACAACAATGTTTGGTGGTGTTGTGTACCGTCACATCAGGACCAGCCCATAGCTGACCCTCTGGTGGATTTTCAGAGGTGTGGGAGGAGATTGTCCATCATTCTTCTGTGGAGCATCTGGTGGACTCGAACACTGTGCCTTTGAGATTGCAGCACAGCTTCTTTCCACTAGGCCACCAGTGCTCCAATGCAGTTTGCCAAAAAGGGGACTTGAAACTGTCTTGAGAACAACAATGGTGACTCAAACAGTATTTAAAGAGAAAGCATTTGAAGGCATGGATTAGTGAGTTTGGCAACCTAAATCTGGACTAATTCTAGAAAAAACAGACCAAAGTAACAAGATTTTATGTATTTCATTATCAATCATAACTATATGGCCAAGCAGATCAAGGTAGTAGCATTTGAATCTGATAGAAAACAAGAAACCCCATTGTGGTGTGATGGATTTTCTAGCTATCAATTTTTATTTTCACCACATGACTGTGTGGGAACCTGAAGTAGTTGTGTAGACTAATAATTATTGGATCAGTCAGCATTTTCCATTCTACCAACTTTCAATTTAGCAAGTTTAGCAGCAGAAAATGGGATTATGACTGAGAAGCAGAAAACGCAGTGCACATCCTTTGGGGCTTGAGATTCCTGTACCAGTCACCAGGCCCTCCACAAGAGCAGCAGCAACCTTAGCAGAGAACCAGAAGCTAACCTGAGATAAAGCTGACCTGGCACTACTGCCCTGCAGAGTCAGAGCATAATTTGGCAGAACTAAGGGAAATGTAAAACAATGACCTAAGATGTGAAGCTGAAGGTCAAAGAGCTTATGCGAACATGAGAAATTCTCCTGACTCAGGGATAGTATCTTGTTGTCAGCCTGAATTATAATCTGTCAACTTCCCTAGGAAATCCCATAACTGTGAATACAGTTCTGTGAAATCTCTGTGGCCAATGCAATGGAATTCAGGCACACTAGGAGAGCAGTACAATAGGTGTTGGAAGCAGTCAACATAGGGGCAGGAGCATGCAGACTATATCTGACCTTATGAGAATTGGTTGTGTATTGTGGATGTAGCAAGGGATAAAATTACTACCTGGTTATGCTCTCACACTCTCTCTCTCCCACCTCCATAGAAGAGGACTAAAGGCAAGGTTTCTCGGAGAAAATTGGAAGGGAAGTAAAAAAGAAGAAACCCCCCCTCCTCAGAAATGTAGGGGACTCAAACCTTAACCAATTCAACAAATCCCACAGGTCCCTAGAAAAGGCAGGGCTGTATTAATCTCACAAGACGGGGAGCCAATGCAAGCAGTGCCCACTCGAGAGTCACTCTCTCATTCTGCTAGCAGTATCCCGGTGATTTGGGTAAATTCCTCTTTTCTTTCTCTTTAAATCTTTGCACTGCCTATCTTCATCTCCCACTTGCCATGTATCTAACATATTACCTTATACACCTTTTTCATTTATTTTGCTAAATTGTCACTGCCTTTATGTCTGTTCACTTATTTAAGGTTGGTCACCTCAACTCAACCCCTTGTGGGAAATATCAGCGAGTAGTGAAGATAAAATGAACCCTAGTTTTAGTACGTTTCGTTGCTGATGAAAACCACTCTCCTTTGTGAAGTTAATAGTGGTCGGACTCAGCTGTCCCCATATCACCTACATACACTTTTTTTACAACCCAGCAAAGAGATTCCTGGAAAAGTTGAAGGTAGGATTCTGGGAGCCAACACATTTTTCTCCAATTCTCCTCACACATCTTCAAAAATTTGTCAGTATTTAAATCAAAAAGGTAACTAAATTTTACACAATGTAGAGTAAGTAGTATTGGCTTTCTTCATTATTCTTACCTCATTCTTAGTATGTCATCTAGCACTCAATGCCAAGTTCATGCTGCAGTAGGAATTATTCTTTTTTTTTTAGCAAAACAGTGATATATTAACAAAATAGTACTGTAAATTTCTTAGTTTGAAGTATGGTTTGAATTAATTCATTCATAATTGTGTAACAATCAGAAGAGTATAAGTTTATTATACTTAACATGTTTCTTGTTCATGTAAAAGTACAACATTTTAAATCATTCAATTCATTAATTATTGCTGCCATGTACCATTAAGTAAGAATCTACTTATAGTTGAACCTCCAATGTGTTTGAGTCAGTAACTTGCAGGGAAGGAGACTCTCCATCTTCTAGAGTAGCTGGTGAATTTAGACCACATGCCTTTGGACTGGCAGCACTATTTCCCTTTAAAGTGTTTTCATACAACAACGATATGGGTGGATGAAAATGACTCGAGTCATGACCTCACATAGGCTTGGCAGATAAATGTCAACATTCATATTAGTATACACTGCAACGGAAGTGCAAACTCTGGTCTCTCCTTGCCCAGAACAAAGAAGATTGACCAAAACCAATGATGAGCTGTAACACTGAGTCCAAAAGACTAATGAACTACTCAAACTTTAGTGTACATGACCCTGAGATCTGAAGAAATTAATGGCACTTTGACCACCACCATAGGTCTCTCTGAAAGATCACAATAGAGGAGTATGGATAGAGCTGACGGAAGTGCAGAATATAACTCAAAGCATTTAAAAAGGCCATGTGGTCTGACAGTGACTGGTAGAATCCTCAAGAATATGGCCCCTTAGTCACACCTGAACCTGCAACAAAAGACTCAGCTCTGTGGTTCAACTTGAAACCAGTTAGATACGTCTACTGGTACCCAGTATCACCAGGTAAGCAATCACTCCTTAGAATAACCATATATACCAGGTCAAAAGAGCAACATTTGCCCAAAAGATAAAGTCTTGAAAGTATGAAGGGGTGGAATAGAAGGATTTATGGAAGCAACAGTTAAAAAGAGGAAGTGGAGAAGTTGGATTTCATTTTGGCACTGGTATTTAATATTATAAATAAATGCATGTGGACTGTTAAGTGAAAAATTAATGTACGTTGCAGATTTCCATTCAAATAACATATTACAAAAAATAAACATTAAATGAGAGAAGAAAAATAAAGTGTCTGTATCTTATTCACGTCTGTGAAACACAGCTCTAGAGAACTTTTATGCCTAGGACAAACATTTAGCTTTGTTGAGGCCAAAGATTGTCTGGGAGGCAAGGAATTAGCAGAAACAGGCAGTGGTCACTTAGGGTGACTCCATTTGGAAGGCAGAATGCTTGGCAGAGGTGAAGCGCTACATTCTTCTTCCTCATCAGGGTTCCTGCCAGGAAGTAGGAGGCCTGATGGATCCCTTCCATAAATGATCTATTTTTGGAATGCCAGCTTGCCAGAGTGACAGCACATGTGTCAGCCCACGAGCATTAGATCTACCAGGAAGGTGCATTAGTCTAATGAAGAACGTTCCTATGCTTCTTGAAGATATCTGACATGAGTCAGACTATTTCTCAGGGACTATCACCTATAAGAAGCTTTTTAGAACTGCTGACAGCATTAATGAATTAACCGTAATGTTTAGCTGTGGATGTAACTATTTCGGTTGATAGAACATTTTCTCTCCAGGAAATGTGTACGCTGTGGAATTCCTCTATATGTTATCATACCTTCATCAAAAGGTGAAAAAGAGGGAGCTTTGGTGGCCTAGTGGCAAGAAGCTGCACTGCAATCCCAGAGGTGTGCGGATCGAATGCACCAGATGCTGTGCTGGAGAAGGAGGGGCAATCTCATCCTGTACCAGTCAGATCTGATTTGACGGTACACACATAAAAAAATAATAAAATTTAAAAAAAGAAAACATTCTAAAAAAATGGTGAAAAGGGGGGAAATATCTTAATACCTGTTATTTAACTTTATCAATGTTTGGCTGGTGCTCAGGTATTTCATTGTGAGCATAATACCTCTTCAAAAAATGAGGAGAAAATATTTT